AAGATGAAAAAAAAAAAACCAAAAAAAAAAAAAACAGGAAAACACCGATGCTACAAATAAATTGAAATATATGTACAAGACCCTGTTTTCCTTGTGTTTGTATATATGTATGCACATGTGTTAGTGTGTGTGTATGCATCTATGTGCACACTTGTTATTATAGTAGGTCGGTTCTTTAGAGTGGAGTTCTTGCAAGTCCGTCTCTTGCTAGTTGATGAAACCATGTTTTCGTTAAATCTCCTGTAGTTTCACATAGAAAACGTCCACTGTAACAGAAGTGCTGTCCACTTGAAAAAAAAACAAGGGTAACAGTGTCCAAAACCTGCTGTATCTCCACTACTTGCTGCCAGTTAAAAACAGTTGGAACCGAATCTATCCAAAAGATTTTCCTCTGAAAACCATGCTTTGCATTCCTTAGAGTTGCCAGCCAGAGCCTGGCCGTGCCTGACTCTGACTGATCTTCCTACAGCTGATGCTGAGTCTGTTCATCATTACCAGATGACACTGGAGATGCTGGTTTCCCTGGGCAGCAGGGGAAGCATGGCATTGTTAGCGTGCGCCTCCTCCAGGCTGTGCTCCCGGCTCTTCCCGGGAGGCCTCTGACCGTTCAGCAGTGTCAGTGGGATGTTGCAGTAGGTGTGCTGGTTCCCCAGGGAGGAGAGAGGTGGCAGGGTCCCTCCTGGGGGTATGTCAAACTCGTAGCTGCGGTAGTAGTGTTTCTGCCTCATGGTGGTGTGGTAGGTGTTGTGGAAAGAGGAACGCAGCTCTGGGTGGGCGGTGGCCATGGCGGTGGATGTGGCTGCTGCCATGGAGATGGCAGAGACGGTTTGCAACTCTCCAAAGGGGCCCTGCTCGCTGACGTCCAGCGCCGGCTCATGGGTGAGCATGGGCTCTGTGCGCCTGAATGGCATCTCGTACTGCAGCTGCTTCCAGAACTTGGAGTTGAGCTTGTTGCTCTTGGGGCTGCGCCACTTGATGACAGTGAGATTTTTGATGGTATGCTTAAGAGCCTCCACCTCCTGGTAGTTCATGATGCCGCGCAACTCAGCACACTCAATCAGGATGACTTTAATCTCACCAGTTACCAGCATGTTGCGCAGTCGTGTCTCCAGCTCAAAGATGCTCCAGCCTCGTCGCACCACATAGTTGGGTGTCATCACTATAATGAGGCGTTTGCTTTGGTCAACACACCGTGCCACATCCTCTATGTAGGCTGCAAGGGAAAAAAAGAAAAGATACAAGAGTGTCAGAGTAGTTAAGTGAAGTTTTGAGGATGTTTTGAGCTAAACGGTTTAATGCAGACAGGACCATAACACTAAACGATGGATAAGCATCACACACAAAACACAAGACAATGACAGGTAGCTATGTTGCAGTTCACCCCTGATATCTAATAATACTCTTTTTAGTCTGTAGATTTGAGTGTGTACAGAAAGACATAGGGACCATAGGTGAGTGTGCAGATGTAGTACACATCTAAAAGCATGTAGTTTGTTCAGTTGAGTGTGTGTCTCTGTCATTCTGCTGCAGTATTTTAAATATTTTAATCAGTACTCTAGATGGAATGGCTGCAGATGGGATAAATAAACACTGATAAAACTACATAGCCTACACTGGGCCTGTTGCTTCAGATCGTAAAACAGCACCACTCTACGCATCTCTTTGAAACTACCTAGGAGCAGGTGAATGGCAGCAGCTTTTACAAAAGGAAAAGACTGGTGGCCAGTACCTCTAAACAGTCGTGTGTCATCCTGGTAATGCTCATTGGTGAGACCTAAACATAAACATTTAACATTCAGGTCACAGGCAGAATTTAATACACACACAGAAACATGCTCAACACAGTTGCAAATGTGGCCGCATCTCCTATCACTCATCTTTTTTTATTTCACATATGGTTAATCACATTCCACATCTCCCTGATTGGACATTCATCTACAACGATTTTGCTTGACACCGATGCTGGCGGCAATTTTCTTTTGATTAAAGAGGCAGCTCAGTCAGCAGGGCTCAGAGTCTTTGCACATTTCCCAATGATGTTTAATTCTGTCTGGTCCAACAACCACATGAAGGCTACAGTGCAAACATGTGGCATCTCGACTAGCTAAAGCACGCTGTGTAGTGCTGGTACTGCTAAGCAGAGTTAACACACATGAGAATATGTTCAGACAGAATTTTCTTGGATTCATACATTATATGAGCTCCCAGTACACACTGTATACTGTAATCCCATATTTGTAGTACATGCATAGTATAGGAACAGCAAGTGGGACACACTATAATCTTCTACTTTTATTCACAGGGGTTTTAGAGGATATAAGAAAAAGGGTTCTAGTTGACAAGGTTGGACTGAAAATATCTTTTTCCCTTAATTTGGAAATTTAGAATAAGCATCTATTCATCGCTTTTAAATGTGGATATACACTAGAATCTGCCCAAAGAGCAATAAACATTCAAACACAAGACGGTGATAGTGGGAAACAACAGTGATGACAAAAAAAACACCACAAAGTATGACAAACACTGCCGACACCACAGTGTACGAGCAACTGTTAAATGCCCTCACACTCCACTAGGGTACGTTATATGAACAGACAGGATGTGTGCTAACATCCATAGGGTATTTACACAGACAGACAGCCATAGTACTTACTTCCTGTTGGAATGAGATCTCGATCTGGGATGAAGAGTTTGTAGCCATAATGTTTCTCCAGGACATCGGGGAGGATTTCCAGGGCGAAGCGTTCTTCCTCTCTGGTCTCCTGACTCCACTGGTCAGGGTCCACTTTGGTGTAGGACAGGTATGCATCATAGTCTTTGTTTTCTGAAACAACAGGAGCAACAGGGAGTTAGTTACACAGTGAAGAAGTACACTAAATGCATCCAGTGCAGAAAGATGCAAAAGATAGAGTCCTGAGCAGACATAAACTGGACGGACATAAACATGTGGAAAATGGACATTACACCCATATTTAATTTATGAGCATCTCAATCCACATTGCATTATCAGAACTCTTAACTCAAAATAATAAACTCCTTCTGTTGTGCTCTAAGTCTAAGGCTCTAAGTTAATATAGCACACAAAACAGAAACATCTGCATCGAGGTAATGTATTATGCAGCAGGTTTATCAGAACATCACAGATGTTTCATTTTACAATACATTAGTATCAAATAATCATTATATTCACAATGAATAATAACCATTTCTCATCAAAGCAGAGTGGTCATTTCCTCAATGCTTGTACAAATTACTATGCCAACTTTGATTTCATATATTGAACATCCTGTATTGCTGTAATGTAGCTGACTTTACAGCACAGTTTATACAAGATAAAAGGACTGCAGCTCTGTTCTGTATCTACCCTAAGGCCTGTTTTCATCAAGCCACCAATCCTTAGATATACAGTATACTGCATATTATTGTAATTTGCTGCCATAAAAGCTCCAGCTCCTCTGGGAAAGCTTTCCAAAATATTTTGGAACCTGGCTGCACAGATTTCATTCAGCTACAAGAGCAGGGCACTGATGTTGGGTGATAAGGCCTGGCTCACAGTTTGTGTTTCTGTGCTGGGTGGAGCTGAGGCCAGGGCTCTTTGTAAGCCATATGTTTCTTCATGGCTCTGACTTTGATCATGGAGGCGTTTTCATACTGAAACAGGAAACAGCCTCTCTGAAACTGTTACCACAAAGCTAGAAGCACACTATTGTCAAAAATATTTTTGCATTTGCATCTTTAAGTGGAGACAATTGGACAAGACTATAAGAAAGTATGTGGACAGTGGCATTCATATACTTGGCCAGGCAGTGTATACGAGAAACAAACTGGGGTAGATACAAAAATCCTGAATCACACAATACCCTTTTTTCCACCTTGAAATAATTTCCCAAAAGACAGTGGGAACATCTGAAAAGCAGAAAATAGACGACAGAAAAACTGGTGACATGTTCAGCAAGTCCTAGTCATTATGCTCTGTGGAAACCGGAATGTGGGACAGTCAAAAAAGGAAAAGGGGCTTTGTCACAAACTCTGTGAGGAGCGCACAGCTTTGAAAGTCACTGGAAAGGCTTGGGCTGCTCTCAATAAGGAGGCAAACATCAAATAACATTTTCAAATTAGCAACCAACCTAGCAAATTAACCACCTAGCAAACTCAGAAAATCAAAAACAGCTTGGTTCGGTGGTCCCCGACGGTATGACTTAATCATGTGGAAGTTTGAGTCAACAAAACAGAGTGTAATGGATAATTCATGCTACTGTAGAAACAATCCAGTGATTTAAAAATGACTTCAGTTTGTTTGAAAATATAGCAGAGAGACTCAAAATACAAAGCAAAAAATGGCAGCTAATGAAACACAAACAGAAGAATCCTTAGCTTAGCTAAAAGTTAACTATGTTCAGTGGAGAAAACAAAAACTTGCTTTCCAATCTAAGACTGTTTATGCTCCTGTTTGTTGCTTAGGGAAGGCGCTTTGAGCCCGTCTAGTCCCCATGTACTGCTTTCTGGCCCTTGACAGCAGAGGGTGGGTATAATTCTATGACATATTGAGATTGATCTCTTTTTAAATGGGCAACAAATTGAAAATCCGTCTCCTTTCTTCCCTATGCAGTTATTGCAGCGACGTACACACACAATCATGTGCATCTCTACACCGACAGCAAAGAGAGAGAGAGAGGAAATGGCTTGCTGTCGCTGAGATAGAACTGGGGAAGATGTGTATCTACAAAGGAGTGTTTTATGGATACAAAATCTGGAAAAAACTGAAAACACAAAGTCATCTACATGTATGCTTTCCTGACATCAAACTTTAGATAAGAAAGGCCTGGTGTAAAAAGAGCTGCAAGAAGAGAGAGAGGATTTTGTTTTAGATGTTTTGTGTTGTCTTTACCTCCATCCACGTCCTCACTGCCAAAGTGCCTCCTATAGAAAAGCATCAGCTCGATCTTGTAGCATTTGTAGATGGAGATGAGAACGATCAGTAGCAGTAGGATCGCTCCCAGCCCTCCTGCCAGCTCCACTGTGTACATGAGCTCTGCTGAGGACAAAAGACCAGAAAACATTACAAACCTCTGAGACGATCACAGTTCAAACTTCATTTACAATTAAGTCACAAAAAGATGTTATTGATTCTGCACCAGGTTGAACTCAAAGGTCATCCTTGTTGTTTTTCACTTAAATGCACAGCATGAGGCACTTAAATGACTTTTTTTTTTCTTTTGCTGGAGGGCTGAATAATCACCAGTATTTTCAGAGGGCACAGTGCAGAGAGACAAGGAAAAAAGGAGATAATGAGAAATTGGGTTTATTTCTTTGGGGTAGTACAGCGATGACACAGTTCTTCACTTTGGCTGTCATCCATAGTGCGATTTGTGACATTTTAGGACATGGATGGAGGCCTTTTCAAAACAAGAGGCTTCAGTTTATTCATCTCACTTACTCCCCTCTCCTCTGTCTCATTCTTTCCCTCTTTGTCTCTCTATTCATTTCTCTTCTCTGTTATCTTCTCTCCATCTTCCCAGAGATCTAACTTGGGGAAGGATGAGTTATGGTGTGTATTAAAGCAGCATTTACCTGGCTGGATCAGCTAGAACAGGTTCACCTTATCTGTGTCACACTGAGGACTAGAACACTGCACAGCTGCCATGGAAACGGCAATGCACTCTCTATATTAGGCACATTGCATAGATTATGTCTTTAAGTCATAATTTTCTTTTCCACAAGTCGAGCAGCTGTTACTTTCAAGATGATATCGCTTATTTGAAATAAATTGCTACGGCTGCATCAGAAAGAAGTTATTTCACCCACACAGTAAGATTTTCTACTTGAAGAAAACTGTTAAAGAGCTGAAGTTTATTTGACCCCCAAACTGGTTTAATTTAATGCTTAATATCGGATTAAATAATCACTATAGTAAAGGTATTTTTGACATTTTGGGAACTATCCTTATTTGGTGTTTTCATGATCTTTATATGAATTGACCGATATGACTCTCAGGTCTGTCTGCTAAGTACGAAGCCGTTACTTCCAGTAGCTGATTAGCTTAGCACAAAGACTGGAAACCACAGAAAACAGTTATATCGGCTCTGTTAAAATGCAACAAAATGTACTCTACTTGAGTATTTTGATTTTGTGCTACTTCATACTTTGACTTCACTACATTTTTGAGGTAAATATGGTACTTTTTTTCCACTGCATTTATTTTGTAACTTTGCTAGTTACTTTTTGGCACCAGATTAATACAAAAATTTCAGTACAATGATAAGACTTTATTGATCTCTGGTTGAAAATTCACAAACTTCCCAGAAGTGATTCAAATGATAAGCTTGTAAGCTAGTTAAAACTAGCTCCACCTTTACCACCTGCAACATTAAATGTAATGAACACAATAATGCATCAGTGATTACAGTCAATCATACGATACAGAGTATTTTTACACTATTGTATTGCTAATTAACTTAAGTAAGGGACCTGAGTACTTCATCCAGCACTGCTCGATGCAAGAATTCCAGTAAGGGTCTTTTGCACAATGGTCTTATAAGGCTAGTCTTGTAAAGGCATACATTCTGTATCAGTTGTGTTATGACATGACCTTGACTTTTTTCATAAACTTCTGTGTCTTAGAAAGACAGAGCTGCTGTTTGGGCCTGTTAACATGCAATTTAAGTTCTAGCTTTCCCACAGACAGGAAGCAGCAGGTGCAGGTGGAAAACCACATCCAGCACCTGGACAATCAGCACAGGCACCCCTCAAGGATGTGTGCTCTCCCCTCTGCTGTTTTCACGCTACGCCAATGACTGCATCTCGAAGGACCCCTCTGTCAAGCTCCTAAAGTTTGCAGATGACACAATGATTATTGGTCTCATCCGAGATGATGACGAGTCAGCCTACAGACAGGAGGTTGAGCAGCTGGTCCTGTGGTGTAGCTGCAACAACCTGGAGCTGAACA